TCATTGCTCCTTAATAGATGTTAATACAAAATATTATTTTATGTTAATACATAGTATTGTTATTATTCTATTTTAGAGGAGAGCTGAAATTAGCCGATTTTGGTTTAGCCAGATTTTACGATGAAGATCAAGATCGTCCTTACACCAATCGCGTGATAACGCTTTGGTATCGTCCACCAGAACTTTTACTTGGTGAAGAACGATATACAACTGCTGTCGATGTGTGGAGTGTTGGGTTTGTTGTGTTTTGTTCGTTTGTGTGGTTGAGGGTATTGATAAGGCTATAGCACGAAACATTACCGGAATGTAGTATATAAATTGCAGGTGTATTCTTGGAGAATTGTACACGAAAAAGCCAATGTTTCAAGGGAACACTGAGATGGTGCAATTGGATATAATATCGAAACTCTGCGGTACACCATCACCTGAAAATTGGTCTGATGTTATCAAATTACCGCTGTATTGCAGCTTTCGGCCAAAGCGCACTTTTCCTCGAATTTTGCGTGAAGCATTTGCATTGTAAGTTTTCACAGATTGGAATTATTCTGCAAATAATTGCTTGGGTCATCAATCATTTCTTGATTTGATTACAGCATACCTGATAAACCTTTGGATTTACTTGACCGAATGCTTGAACTGGATCCAAGGAAGCGTATTACTTCAAAAGCTTCTCTTACACATCCTTGGCTCAAAGATGTTGATCCTTCAATAATACCACCGCCAAAGCTTCCAGATTGGCAAGATTGCCATGAGCTGTGGTCGAAAAAACAAAGGAAGAACCGGTCGGCTGGCAGTAAGTATCTTAAATTATTGCGTGCAAACCAGAGAAAATTAAAGAAATAGATAGAAATCAGAACGGTAACTTGATTTTTGCTTTATCAGAAGGGTAACTTAAATTCACTTACCTTTCAATCTCGCCATAGTTAGATTGACTGTATTATACTCGATGGTTTTTATGTTGACTTCAGCGGTGGATTTCTTCATTGTCTAAGTTTGCTCATATCAAATATATTAAATAATACTATGTACCTTATTTTCATCTCTCATTTTGAAATCTGCAATATATTCTAGGTAGTTTGGTAATGACACAGACATCACAGTCGCATACTCAGTTTGTACAGCACCATCCTGTTCTTCCTTCTAGTTCGCATCAGGTTTATTGTATTTTATCGCTTCGTTTTCTATTTGAACGTTACATGGGACACTCTTGCCAGTTTAAATCGTTATTAATTAATTAATTAACATAAAACAAATATCAGATTTTCATTACAGTCTGATTCGAACACAAATTTGAGAACTGGACTACCACTTTTTCCGACAAGGCGAATGAACATTACACATTCATCTGTTGAGGGTAATGCATCTTCAGAGGCTTCATTAAAAAGTAAGTTATGTGCTAAAATTTGCATAGTTATAATTCATTTTCCAAGAAATATAACTAAAAGAAGACTAAATATTTAAAGCCACATTTTTAAAAAATGTAAAGCGAAATAGAGTTGCCATAAATGATTCATTATAGTACAGGTTTTTGATCTGTTGTAGAAAAAAAAAAAAGAGTAATGCACTTAATGTACTTAGTTATTTTGCAGATGTGGATGCAGCAATTCGAGCAATTCAGGCTGATCCAAGCAACTTGGAAGCAGCACGTGCACTGTTGGCGAACTTAAGCCCAACGGCAGCAGCATCTGTTTTGCAGCTTGTTAGTAAAAGTGGTGTTTTGCCACCAGCGATGATGTCGGCGCTTTCATCATTTACCACAAGTACATCGCATGCACATCCACGAATACAGAACCAACTCAGTGAAATATTAGGACAGCTTGCATCAATGGAACCGAAAGGTAGTGTATCAGTTACCATTACAAGTAATTCTACTTCAAATGTATCAACATTCCAATAGACTTCGTCATTAGCTTTATGGCAAATGTCGCTAAATAAGCGCGAATACTTTCAAAATTGACATTTGTAAATATTCCGGTATAAAATATTTTTATTGTTTAGATATATTTTTTAATTATAAAGCATATAATCCATTCTCGTTACTTACGTTCGAAATAGAAATTGAGGTTAGGAATTAGATTTTTTTTTTTTTTTATTATATTGCACTTTATTTCTGATTTTATGATACTACAATTTTTATACGGATAACCAGCTTAAAATTTTCCTAACAACTCCTAAACAATTGAAATGACCATCCTAATATGGTGAATTCAATGTTTGATGCTGTTCTCTTGTTTGGTAATTTATCAATAAAGGATTGCTTGGTGTGAATTCTTTGTTTTGATGTTGTTTTGTATGATGATGCTAATGATTGCTTAACAGTGATATTCGCAGGTGTTCCAGGAGCTTAATATGTTACGAACTAGCAGATTTAGGCGAGATTTTTGTTTCTAATCTTTTCAAATCTCTCAATTTTTCTTGTATCACTAAATTTTGAACATCCGAAACTTCATAGTTTTTATTTTCTATTTTACATCTTTCGGGTTCCAGTGTACTTGTCTGTAGTGTATTCACGGTTCAACATTCTGTTTTTTTTTTTACTGACCAGGCTGAGGAACTGGAACTCTCTGAGTTATAATGATTACCACTGCTTTGTCTTGTTTGTCGTTACGATGAGTTTCGATAATTAATATGATGAAGCCGTGATTTATTTCACGCTATCTGATGTTCAATTCAATCATTAATTTATACATAGTTTGTGAGAAGGAAAAACAGGACTGTTACTAATGTGTTATTAGATTTTGGGAATGCTTGTGCAATTTCTTTATAGCTTGGTGGGTGGTCTTTAATTTTGCTACTTCGTTACTTGTTTAATGATTTGTTTTGTAAGTACTGGAATCGATCTTTCATTCGGTTGAGATTGGAGGGAGCTTTCGTTTTGAAAAAATTTGTTATATTATTACTCTGTAATATTACGTTGATGTTGCGTTTTGAATGTTGAGGTTACAATTTATTTTGATTTCAGTATTTTCATACTTCACGGCTGGTATTATCAGATAGCATATTAACTGAAGTATAATATTGAAGAAATAACAGTGTATTATTTTATGTTAATAATTCTTTTTTTTTTTTTTTTGCAAGTCAGAAATTTTAAAATGAAGTTTTAGAGTGTAGCTTTTTTATAGTATGAGGACAAACTTCAGGTTACTTTAGTTTATTTTCTTGTGAAAGGATTAAGCACCACTTAAATGACCACTATTATTTTGTGTTACCTTGTGTTATCAGTTTTTCTGAACTGACATGGCAAAATGAGATTGTTTGGTGTACACCCCATCGCTTCAAGGTAGAAAAGGTGCATCACAGTGCAATTTTTTGATGTTTATTTCTAATCATTGAAGAAATATGTTTTAGGAGATCTGCCGTCCGCTATAGAATCAAGAATACTTCCAGAAAGAGAGAAGGAATTTTCGAAAAAATCAACGGACCCAGTTAACACATTGAACGTGGGGATGCCAGAACAATTTATAAATGGTGGTGATGTGGATTGCAGTCAGATTTTAGTATCATTAAAATCTGATAATTCCAAACAGGTGCATTCACCTGCCAATCATTCAGAACTGTTGAGTTGATGGTGGTATAGGGAGGAGGAAATGCTAACGATGTTTCCTCTTTTAAAAGTGCGGTCAGTATGCAGAAGGAAATTTTTGAATTGCTGCTTGTGTATCACACGTCGGTGCTTATGTATGAAAACAATCGGCTATTGCAACTGCTATTTTGAGGAAGAAGGATTACTGGCATTCCCGGGAGAGGTAATTAAATAGTCAGTTGCATTATTACTTTGTGTCGCTGTTACCTTTTTGTTGTAATGTTTGTATGAAATGATTCGCAATTGAATAATGGACGATCGCAAGAAAGGTATGGCCCTTTTTGAGACGTTCCATTCTCGGCAGGTCATTTGCATAGGATGTTTGATATTCACAAAAATCGGCCTTAATCTCTAATGTGGAGCATATAACTGAAGCCATTTGGTATTTACGAAATCAAATCCAGATATCCGAAATGAAAACACATCATTCTGTGCAAACTGAACCGGGTTTTGATTTTTATTGGTGGTTCCAGGAATTAATCATCACTCAGTTCTATTGTAAATTTGCTTTTGATTCATTTACGAGTGCTTTTTCCTCTCAAGTCGTTAATATTGGTATCTTTACGTGTAAGTAAGTAATAACATGAAAAAGGCGTAGCGTTCATTAAGAAAGAACTTGACGACACCACTTATCAACAACAGTATGTCCATCATGTGATCAGAGATATCCATATATTGCGATGTCGGTCTGCCAAAGTCATCCTGGTTAGTTGTCAAATATGTTTTTAAAATTTCGGGAATCGAGACATGTTGACTTCGCTTCAGTCACCAACTTGCTGTTCTGAAATCGTCTGACCTTGATTATACTCTTCCCTGAGCTATAGGCTCCACCATTATCCGAAGTTTCACCTTTCTAGAGTAGCTTGAGTGAGGGAAACGTCGCAGGTGAAATTCAAGAAGTTTATATTGCAGCAAATGCAGAACCATCAGTTCTCGTATCCTCTTTTTAGATCACTCATAAGAGTTCAAATACTGTTAGAACAATTAACAAAGAAGCCAATAGAACGGTTTCCATCAGTTACCTGGATTCTTCCTACTTGCTGTTTGTAAGATTCTCGAACTTACAATTTAAAAACGGGTAGGACATTGGGGACGCAATATTTTGAATTACTATAGCACTAAAAATTGCAAATGAAATGAATTTCATTCCTGCTTGTCAGGGTTGCCCAAAACTAAACTCGCGCTATCCATTTCTTTATCCTATGTGTCCTACAAGAACACATCTAGCTTTCCACTTTCTCATCCTTCTTTAACACCTCATTACTGATTCTGGAAGGATACAGTCTTTCCAATCCTCTAATCTCGAAATCGTTTTCCCACGCCTTTTTTGCTAGTTTGAACATCGAAGGTTTAAGAAATCAAATATGCTTTTCATTAAGTTTGCAATGTTTAATACAGATAAGATACGGTTACATCGTCATTTTTCATCAAATCGACGATTAGCATAAAATTCTTCTAACTTCGCCCACGGATTAGATGTCATAGCCGGTATCACATAATCATTGACATCAAACTGTTCAGCAAGACATGCCGTTCTTGAGTTATTATTGTGACGCCTGTAGCTGGGAGTAGTTGTGAAAGAATCACCACATTCTTGTATCTGAATGAATTACTATATTCTTTTCCAAGGCTAATGTAAACTTCCGATGATACATACTAAACAATAAGGAAATATGTTTTAGTCATAAGGCAAACTTCATTAGAATAAAAAGTTTTTGTTCTGCCAGCAACATATGCTCATCCTATCATTTTCATCGCTCATAATTCTTTTCATCCTACCAAACATGAAGCATCTACCATGTTTTGTGGATTTTTATAGATATATGGCGAGAATGCTCTCGATGGACCAAGCCAATTTGGACAATGTTGGGCGTTGGTGAGACTGCTTACTGAATAAGCCGGAGCGGATAAACTGATGTAAGGTCGTTTTTGTTGATAAGATGATCTATAGCGGAAAGACGGATGGGACGCATAATATGGAAATGTTGCAGGAGCATAGGGACTTCTGAAAGGACTGTCGAAACGATTGCTCTTCGCGGGAGTCGCAGGACAACGAGTACCTAAAACAAGGTCTATTTCAATCTTATAACAATTATCATCTGTTACAAAAGCAGCATACAACTAGCAGAATTAATCCAGTACGTCTTTCACATACACAGTGAATAATAGAACATAACAGCAATCTTCCGATATATCCATGGAACTCTTCATAGTTTACGTGGCCAAAGTTCCAGACAATATATTGTGGATACACTGTTCCTCATAAGAAATTCTCATGTAACGTGTTCGACGAGATACCATGAAGAAAAAAAAGCTGCAGAGCAGCGTGATAGAACGTAATCTGCTTTATCTTCGTTCTGGTCATCGTACAATATAAAATAAGGAGAGAATTTTCGTTTCGTTTTACAAATTGCAGAGGAATAACTCACAAAACACTTTCAAAGGGAAACGACTTACAGAAACTCTTTCGTTGTTGTGGTGCCATTTCTTCTTCGCTGTTGTTGTGCATATATATCTTTTCAACAACTAAAAATAAAACGGAAGTCGATGTAAATCGTACTAAATGAATTCATTAACAACACTGATGCCACTCCATAACTTTTTGTTAACACCTAGAAATTCATGGCCGACTATTTTTTCCGTTAAATGTTGCTATGCAATACCAATTTTTCAAGATTCGTAGGTCATGTGATTTGTATGCTTGTGGTATTATCTAGGCGTATCGTATTGTCAAATTCGTTTAGTCGTGACTCTGACGGCGTTATTTCGCTGCTTGTAGAGTGGTTGCATCTTTATCCTGAAATATTATTAGTTTCAGAAAGAAAATGAATGCAATTATGAAAGGTTTATCTCGCCATTCTACAAAAGAATGGATCAATTATTTCTGTTCCACGCATTTTTGGGGTCCTGTTGCTAACTGGGGCATCCCAATTGCCGCATTGGCAGATTTAAAGAAGAATCCCGATTTGATCTCAGGTACGCTATTCTGCAAATATTCGAGAAATTTTGTATATTTTGTGAGTTGGGAAAGTAGAAATTTTCATTCTTGATAATAATGAGATATCAATTCTAGGTCCAATGACCGCTGCTCTGTGCATCTACTCAGCAGTTTTTATGCGATTTGCATGTCGTGTTGAACCACGCAATATGCTTCTTTTCTCGTGCCATTTCGGAAACATATCTTTGCAACTCATGCAGGTAATAAAAATCACTTCATACAGATGACTAAGTTTTCCGGAACAGTGCATGTCTATTGACAACTGTTGTATATAATATGTTGCGAATTTGTTTCTACGGCGAAGAAAGTGATTACTCTGTCGATCTCGAGAACAAGACAACATATTTATTTATGTCAGTATTGTAAGCGGTTTTGCTGCAGTTTTTTTTATTTGCAGGAGATTTTGCTACCGACTTCTATAAAATTAATCTGTACATATTTTATAGATGGCTCGTTTTCTTAATCACAATTATCTACACATTATGGAGGATCCAACATTCGATTATGGTCAAACCAATACCACATTTCTTATGGAAAAAGTGGAGTAGCTATAATTATAGAAGGAAAAGAATAAGGAGGAATATTTCTCAACATCTGGCCCTCCAGAAATTTCTATACATATCTTATTTTTATTAGAAAAATGATGAGTTCTTCATTATTTTGTATATATACATCTCAGTGTCCTAGTTTATTTCGGTTTCACTTGTATAGATGCTTATCATTTCTTATATATATATATATATATATATATATATATGTAATCATTGAGATTTGAATAAAGTTTGCTATTCAGGTCAGATACCAGTAACACATAAGTAACAAAAGCTTACTGTATGACACTCTGGAAGTGTAGGTCTTGCTTAATTGCTCATTTCCCTATTCCAAAAATCTTCGTGAAATGAAAGGGGATTTGCTGGATGGCTTATATTTTTATTTTGAAATATCGGCAACAAGCGATTTAAGTGAATCAATAATCAATTAAGTTACGCAAAAAAAATTCATATTTGTGAATAAGTGGGTATGTAGAGATGGACATTTTCGCTCAGCTGATTGAATTCACGATAGCGGTGAATGTAACTGACAGTTCACGGTCTTATATAAAGGATATATAAAGGATACAGGTCCCTACTGTGCAACTTCACTTCATCTGTCCACAGATAATAAACTACTATTTTAGTGAGATCATAATAGCAAGGAAGCTTGGGAAAAGTAATCCAATTACCACGAAGGATGAAAGTTTCAAGACTTATTGTGGGAACGACCAGTATGAATTCACCACGAAATACGTTTTATTAAATTTCTCACAGGTTTTCGTGAGAAATAGTAATAAGTATGAATAAATATTAACTTGTTAGCATTGCAGATGTTTGAAAATTTCCAAGTTCAGGATTAAATGAATGTCGTTCCCACAGGCAGGAATGATTTTGTTGTCGATGTGAATGAAGATAATTGGAGCTGCCATAGTATCTCACCTTTGAACTTCTTCATTGCCCTTTGACATAAATGGTCACGCGCATGTTGACATTAAATTCAAGGCTATTTATTTTGCAAACGATAATCTGGGATCGTAAGATAAAAATCTCCTATAAAAATCCTTCTGACTCAACGGAAAGTTTATTTGAGCTTTTTTACTCACTCGCTACTGGTGCTTTCCTATTTGAAGAATCATTGGGTTTTGAAACGGTTTCTGTGAAGAGCAAATGTTGTTTGACTCAGGTTTATTCATATTTCTTACATTTATTATGATACTTGAATAAATTAAACTACTAAAAAAAGCTAATGAAAAAAAAAAAAAGAAAAAGAACTATTCAAATTGCATTTTGGCAAAAATCAAAAAAAAAAGCAGAATTTTTTTCAGAGATGATTCTGGCTAAAGCATCGCTGTTATTTATCATTTGGTCAGTGATAATTCGTACTGGTCGAATGGTAACAAGCACTTCTACTAGGCAACAACAGGATCTGGAAGAGTTCTGGATTTCCGTTAATTTGTTAAATGTTGAGTGGAAGCCATCTTGCCTCATAATCACTTATTGCAATAAACCGGAACTAAAAATGATTAAGACAAATCCGGTGAATGGAGAGAAAAGCTCATTCAGTTGGCAGTTGGATCAAAATTTCAAACAGGTAGTATTAGATTAAAATTTCGAACAGAAAAATTTTTTCTTGAAAGGATAGTAATTAAATAAGAAAAACTTTTATCGTTAGAACGATACACTGTTTTGTTTGAAAAAGTATCATTGTTCCTGAATGATGAGTTACTCTTCGCAGCGATGTTTCTAAAAAAAATTATCTAGTTGTCGAATAGCGTTTTCATTAGCCATTGGACGGCAGGATCCCCTGTGGATATTGAAATGAATATCGAAATTATTGGTATTGATCCGAAATATCGGTTTCAACGTAGTTGTGATCAAACCGTCGTAACGAAGGCTTTTAAGTATGAATTACAGGTACTTCTTGGCTTCTTTCTTTTCTATTTTGATATAGGTGTGTTGAATTCAACAGACGGCTCAAGGATAAATATTCCAATCCCAGTTTTGATTTCGAATTCAGGAAGAACATTTTGGGAATTCGAGTACAGGAAATGGCAGTAACCTCGGTCAGATGATAGTTGAACTGCGGGGTCGATGCTTTAATGCTACTTTAACGGTTCAAAAACACATCGAACGTTCTCCGTGGTGCAGCAGAATTGAAACGGCTACAATTGGTGATAGTATTAAGGTAGATATTGATTATATAAATCAATTCTCCTTCAGATAGATTTCGTATTTTTCAATTTAAGTCTCATTTCAAGTATTTTCAGCCTTATGAACATGACTTTGAATTTTTCCCGATCAAGCAGTACAGTTTGGTGATGCTTATCTGTGTCGTTACATCCTGTCTGATAATTATGTGTGCTGTACAGTGTATTTTGTATCTATACAGGAAATCAGAGAAACTGGCTAATCAGAAAGTATCAGTATTACCTTTCGTCCAGTCAACGAATTGGAAGATGATGGAAATTAAGTGTGTTTTTATTTTTATCTTGTAGTAACGTTTGTAGATAACATTTATCTGTCTGCAAGGAATTTAGAGAGACATATACCCATTATTATCACATATATATCTCTGTGAATTCTTTTCAAAGTGAACTTAATGAATATTTTAATCAAAATACTTCTTTTCAGTGGAAATGGCCATTTAAATTCCAATACGATGTGCGAGAATAAAAGTAATAATAGCAGTAACAGGTCTACTTTGAAAAATGAATCATTAATTAATTGTGCTCATGATCAAATTTTTGCTAATTCCAATACGATAATCGAAAGTAACCGGTCATCACTCATAAATGATAGAACTTACGACAATGTTGCTCATTATAATGATGTTTAATAACCTATGTCGTGATTGAGACATATAAATTTGCTTTATAATGAAAAATTATTTTTATGCTTATCTTTTCATTAAGAATATCTGAATATTGATTAGTTAGGTTTTTTGATACTTTTTGATTTGCACTATTATTTCTTTATTGTTTACAGTTGGCTTTTTATTATTTTCGTGCAAGCTTTACTGATACCTTCGTTGTCGTCCATTGTTCATTTATTTTGTTTTTTTTTTTTTTCTGTTGCAAAATTTGTAACTCTCAATAAATTTTTTATGAAAATGTGAATATTTAAAAAATATCAAATAGGTAGTAAAAAAAATATATCAAATTTATTGAAACTCATAGTAAAATTTTTCTCTTGCAATTTATATCACTTGTATTACCTCTTTTGTGATATATTTTAATGCATTTTTAATTGAATTATTACAGTTGTATTTTTGACTTCAATTATTATTGTCCTTTATTTTCTTCAAAAATTTAAAATCGTGGTATTTAATGAAACTCTTCATCCTATTGCAATGTATCTGCCGACTCCTTCTAATGTTATTTTATTTTTGATGCGAGAATCAATAAGGTAGCTGAACACACACACACACACACACACACACACACACACACACACACACACACACACACACACACACACACACACACACACACACACACACACACACACACACACACACACACACACACACACACACACACACACACACACACACACACACACACACACACACACAACATATCGATTGGCACACCATTGATGTTGGACATATCTGCCAGTGAGTGCGTGACGATTATTCATTTTTCGATAGAACGGCAGCATGAAATTTGGTAGTGTGACAAATGCTGTAAGTGAAAGTAAATATTTGTTTGCGTTTTTGGACATGTCTCTGTTAAATTTCAGCTGTAATTAATCAAAACTCGGAAAAATACTGCAATTATTCGTCATATATTTTTCCTCAACAATTGATAATTAAAAGTTGAAAGCCTACTGATATCCAAGTGATAATTCTAAATATTTATTGAAGTAAATTTACTGAAATGTATTAGTGTTTGATGAAATTAACTATCTTTTCATTTAGAAGTAACAACTGCAGGAACTGAAGATTGCTACATGAAGAATAGACTCGAGAAGGAAGAC